TGATTGTGATTATTGCATGCCCTCATTCTTAAGGCTTGCTGGTTTTTAACGTTCACATTTAAAATTGGCAACATTGGAGATAATTCTGTAGCGTCCCGTTCTTTGATCAAAAACGCATCCTTTATAGTCTGGGAAACGAATCTGATAGAGTTAGCACATGCAAAAATCAAGTCATAAGTACACTCAGTAGCATTCAAGCGGATTTCATTTTGGAAGAAAAGAAATGTTGGACCAAGGTTTGTGCGTACGTTAAGTGTCTGCTAAAACTCAAACTGCATTCGCTGCACCTTTTATCACGGCAACGTTATTCTTCAACCAACTTACAGTTCAGTAGTCTGGATCTAAGTCAATGACCCATAAAATTAATTTGTTAAAATAAAATTTAAGGGGAACAGTACACCAAGGATTCTAAATAAGACAAATGAAAGCCTTCGAGTTCCTGTTTATTACTGCTTGGAGAATGCCACTAGCACATCTCATATCGGGAGGACACACACACGCACTCTCTTCCCACCCAGCGGCAAAATTTGTGACGACTGTCACCGTGGAATGGTACGGGTTCTCATACTGGATACATTTGCCATGTACTTTCCTTAGCCTTCACTTTAGTCTTTAGTCTGTGTATGCAGAGGAAATGAGGAATATCTAAGGGAATGCTCAGAAGGTTGCTTAATTTTGTTGTGTCATTTCGACACTTACATAAGGCAGACTGATGGTTGGAAAAGAAAGTAAATAAGAGAGGAATTATAGGGATTCATTTTTGAATCTTTGAGGCGTTTTTATCTTTTTTTTCACGCAATACTCAACACGTCGATTAAATTGTCAATGCGCAGTCAGTAGCTTTTCATGTCACGTCGACTCTCTTGACTATTCTGATGCACTAACTATGTGCACATGAGTACATAGATAGTCATTAATAATTCATTACTTCTATCAGTAACTGGTGGCAATAATTGAGCTGGCTCATCAGAGCGGAAAGAAGTGAATAATTCAGGTAAACATGCTACCTCTGTCGGGTTTGATTCTGGCTGAACGCTGATTAGAGGATAGCAAATTACCGAAAGCTAAGTAGGTAGGGTGACATGTCAGGCAACCGGTCAAAATCAACAGGAGAATAACAATTTGGGAAGCGCTTCCTTCTGATGGCAGACAGGAACTTGAGCGGCGAACACTCAGCCGTGATTCACGCGCCCGGGCACGGGAGCACCGACTCACGCACCCGTTGCGTTGATTTATTAATGAGGCCCCGTGATGAGTGAGGGAGGCAGTGGACGCTGGGGTGATTGTGACTCCTGCGCCCAGTTTGCACAACTAGCCCCATAATTGCAATGCTTTGGCGGAAGTTGGTAGAGTAATTTTGGCCTCTAAAGACTGTAAATATGGATCATTTTCCTTGATATATAGTACATTCAAAGACAGGATTTTTGGTGTACAACTCTTATTGAGCGATTTCATTTACTCACTCGAGTGAATTTTCTAAAAAATCAGCATTAAGCTCTCATTCAAGGGTGTTTTGGCGATGTCACCAGTAACTTTGGTACAGTGGTCTTCTGTCTCATTTTCGCAACAATAAACAAGATTGGTCCAGTTCAATTTGTGGCCCTGCCTCCGCGTCTTAGAGCATGGAAAAATGTATGGGTCCTGTTTTCATAGGTCAGAACATTTCATCTTTAGTTAAACAGGGAACCTTTGCATAACCTTATGAGGTAATAGTGTGAGTTGCTGAGATAGCCCAACAACTTTTCTTGAGAAACGAATTTCCTCATTCAACGCACTTTGGGTCATTTCAAAACGAATCATTTGCTTTTTCTAACAAAAACAATTTGTTAATGGCCATGCTATTGAAGTTGATGGGTAACTGTAATTCATATTTATATTAAAAATAGGCAGCTTCGCCAGATCCTCTCTCATCACCGTCTTTCCTGCAGAAGTTGTATTTTCCTAATTTTCTTATCTCCATTTCAATTCCGATTGCAACAATTCCTCACAGGCGGAAGTAATTTAATAAAGACGACATAGGAAAAAGCTCTCGGATGAGTAGATTTTCCTCCTCATCTGCGCAAGGTATGATTTCATGCTTTTCTGTTTCTATCTTCTGACGAGTTTTTCTTCTTTTTGGGCTAATTCTGGCCTAAAGCACTCACTGTGCGACAGGTCATAGGGGAAGATTTGATCGCCTTAATGGATGAATTAGTGTTTGTCAGCTCAAAAAGTTGAGTTGGGAGGTTCGTCTCCGAAATCACCCTATGCTTAAATTAGCTCTTCTTCCTTTCCGTCCAAGCCGTTGTGACTATCTAGAGTGGCATAAACTGACAATCGTTTCGTTTTTATAGTTTTCCGAATAAATTTTATGGCCTTTAAAGTATAAAACCACAGAAAAAACCTGGGAACGTATTTTATTCATTTGGCCTTCCATAAATGCCTGTTTTCTCAACTGCGAAACAATTACTCAACTGTCTCCATTTATTTTTCCAACTGAGCGAAAGCTGACATGTCTTTTGCGTACATTTGAGAATTTAGCCATATACTCGTAGTATTTACAAAGCGGCTGGTATGATTTTTACGCAGTTAAGGGTACATTAACGCCACTTTCATGTAGGGAGAAATATTTATGAGGTGTCCCAATTATGATTTCATCAAACTGCAACAACATTGGCGCCACCGACGTAACAATTAAGGGGATTTGGGGTTGATGAAGCCACATACTAGCAACTTTCAGAAGACGACGACTGAATTTCCTAAGCTCACTGTCATTTCACGACCTCGTAGAAACAATTGTAGTGAGCGCTTTTGTAACAAATCACTCAAATAATTTGGCTCTTCCATTAGACTTCAACATTAGATCCTTCATTTCAATGGAGAGTGAAATGATTAGGTCAGTGCCACCGAACCGCAAAATTCAATTGTACTGGGCAATTAGTGGCTAAGTATTTTTATTAAACCACTCCATAGCACTTAATGCGATGCTGTTTCAAGCATCGGAGGCTTGTAAGAACTCTCCATTCAAAGGCCCCCTGTTGGAAAGCTTTGCCAGCGTCAATAGGAAATTTGAGTGAAAATAGGTTGGAAGCACAACTGTCATGGCCTACCTATTTTACGTCTCTTTTAGAAGTTCTTAGTATAACGACTTTGACGAGATCATAACAGGCATAAAGTAGCGCAAATTTTCTTCATGCACTCATCTCTGAAAAGTAGCGTCGAGAATGCGAGGCCCTGAAGGCGCTTGTCCGCATAATCTTAAAGACACAAGGTAGAAGGCATCGCCGGCATTTTTAAGCATCATAATGACTACACGTTAAGTGCGCTGCTTCTATCCAGCTTATTGCTCTTACACACATCTTTGCAAGACAAGACCAAGGATTGCACACTTCACGAACTATAAATAGGTCCAAGAGATGCACAATAAATGAATCGTAAGGGGACCCTAAACATGACTAGGCTGTCATTCAACTACCCAAGTTGTTTGGTGTTTTGTACCATCAAATCCACCAGCTTGCGCCTATTTGTCTCTTTAAGCCTCAGTCAGCGTTCAAAAATCCAACTCTCGAAATGCTAATGTGGGCTATCAAAATGCGGACGCCTTGTATGCCATTGACTTCATTTACATGGAAACTCATTTCACTTGTAAGCGAAGTTAGGAGTCATCTGCCAAAATCGCATAAATTTATGTCACTTGTTGTTATTATCGTCCTCCAAATGGATCGAAAGGCACAAAGTGGAGGCAACAGGACTCAACTCGGCAATTGTTACGTCTGCAGTTGTGTGGTATCTTAAAATGAAACAAATAGCGGAATTAATTAGGCATTATTCTGAAATGAGGCACTCAACTGTTTGTCACTTCAGGCACACATAAGCTTGTTGTGGATTTTATTAAATCAAACGAATATACTATTTTGCGAAAATGTGGGGAAATTCACCTAAAAGGCGTGTCCTGTTCCCAAGTACATTGAATTGTCAAGTATTAAGTAACTTGGTGGTGAGCAATGCATGCAAATTTTGCTTTTAGAGCCTGTGGCCAAGAGTACTATGGTTTTGCAAAAGCAGCATCAAAAGTGCCACTGACGCCTGAGTATTTTACGTTGCAAACATGCAGTAGTCGGGATAATTACCCACCCCTAGCTATTCACAGCTGCTATGCATACAAATGAAACAGGTTAATTACTTTTTAAACGTCAAATCCATTTTTTCGCGAGATGGGTGTCGTCATAATTACCTTTAGCAAAAGCTTCAACTTTGATTTAATGTTTACTCGAAGAAATTTTGTAAATCATCGGCCTTTCGCTTGTGTTTTGTGATCGTGGCAATACCGAAAAAACTTTTCTGATTTGTAACCTTCCAAACGATAATAGGAAATTCCGTGTTTTCATCACCAAGAAGAAAGACAGCAAATATCAAAGTATCATTTGGCTAGCGGTAGTGGTATCAAAAAAGGGCGCTCTCACCTGGCCTTGCAGAAGTAGCAGTTTCGAGCTTCACTGATTTTCGAGCACTATTACGGGCTAGAGGAGTCTCACACACATTGAATGGGGAGAAGCAAAAGGCCTCTTTTTGACTGACGGCGATACAACAGCCTTCATGGGACTTCTATTGGCAGTCTTTTCGTCTCTAAGACTTAAAAGTTGGACGTTAAGGTGGTGTATCTCATATTCCAAAGCACTCAATCATGAGACTGTTTCTTAGATTCCATGAAGACACTTTAACATCTAAGTTATTTTTCACCTTTACGGCGTTTCAAAACTAGCAAAAATTACAGGTATTTTTAAAGTTGAAAACCTAATCCATACTTTCCTTTGTATTATCACCACCTTAAGCTTAACTTCCTGTGTAGAACGCATCTACTTGCGGATGAGAAACCCAGCTCATATGAAGTGTAGGCTAGAATTAAGTAGTTGCTGAGCATTTTCTAACAAAGCCTTGAGAAATAGCGCCCATGGTCAGAGTTTCAGTCTCCGACTTCTATGGAACTGCCATAACATCCACCACGTACCACTACCTCCATAATGAGTCGCGAATTCACCCAATCAGATATGAAGTTGACGATAAACTCTCGGCCAGCTGAACGGAAGGTTTGTGTTTGCACTAATGCTGACAACCATACGCTCAGCCTAAATAAGGCGTGACATAAGAAAGTTACAGGGTCTCCGGTTAATTATCTGAAGTATGCGTGCTTTGTATACGGTGGCTGCATCTACTCCTCGATTATAGAATGTATTTACCCTGAGTAATTCAAAACCGGACCTTTGCAAATTCGCATGCATTTGCTTTTGATAAGAAGTCGCATTTTTGCACATGTGTTTATGAAAACTTAGCGTTGTTAATAAATGCTGGTTTGTTATTGGTGGTCAATTTTATGCTTTCAGAATGTACAACTATTGTACCAATCTTCTTTCATTTCAATAAGCGAAATTCACGTTGTGATTTATTGTGTCGATATGATCTTTGTGTGTTCAGAGACAAGTCAAAGCGAGACTCATTTGTCCCAGTCTGTTAGATAGGAAGTGAACTTTTAACGAGTGAAATAGGCACACTCCAAGTCTATTTTAACCATCTTGGATTCGCTGCGATGTCAGAAATAACCACTGTTATAACCGGTAATCCTTTGTCTGTAAAACGATTGTCTATAGAAAGCAGGAAACAAGCCTCTCTCCAGCCACCTCCACTTTTATTTTGACTCCATTTCCGAATCGTCTATGCTACTTTTCATTTGATCGCTCCACGCCAAGAGAGGGCGGTAACCAGCACTTGAAGAAATGTCACAAAATATTCCCTCATCTCACCTATTCTAAGCTTCAGCATGAGGTTTTATCACAGCAAGCTTCGCGCTACAAGGTGGGAGCTTTCGCGTTATATTGAATGGGACTTTCGTTAACATGGCGAGCTTTCCTTGCGGACCTACCACCTTTGTCTAGATGGACTTCGATTGTTGATGCTTGAGCTTACGCACACATAAATTCACAGTGAAAAACTGCGTCTGTAGTCACTCACATTATTTATTTGTTTTCTTGCTTGATTTTGTCGTGTAAATTTCTGTACCACAAGCACAAATATTTGGCTCTGGAAACTGCTCCTCACCGAGCCCTTCACATCTTTGGTGGCGACTTAACGTTGCATGCCATTTGTGGACTTTTTCGAACATATAAGTTCCACTATTTTGGTCATATTTAAATCGAAGAAGTGGAAAAACAGATGGTATCGCCCATCCGGTGAGCATTTACGACTGATAATGTTCACACGTGTGGCCTTTCCCGAGCTGCACCGAATTTAGCGTTGGAGATGGCGATAGGAGTGGCAGAAGGAAAGGTAGCGAGAGGGAATGGGAGAAGGGGGTGGCTCCAGACCAGTAAAGATCGCGTGAGCACTCAACGCCGTCAGAGTCCGTGCATATGAAATGATGGCCTCCGAGCTCACCTCACTGTGCCTTAAGCTGGTGAAACAAGATAAATTCACTCACACTCCACTCCTCCTATGCTCGGAAATGATTAAGCTTTTTTAAAAAGCAAACCCATTACCAAGGTGTATTTGCCAAAGATAATGTTTTTAATTCACTGATAAAGGAGAAATCTTGCATATCGGTGATATGTATCATTAGTTCAAGGTTTTCGTTGCTGTATTATTCTTAAATCGATGACATGAATTCAGATCGATTGAACTCATGATTTTGATTGGCTACTGTTGAGGCTATTTCCAGACATGGAGTCTAAACTTTGAATCCATATTAACGAAAAACAACGATAACTTTAATAATGAGCCTGTACCTAATGCGCATGGATATTTTAAATTCGCACCTAGCAGCAGCTCAACTGATGACCTCTCCTTTAATTAAAATATGAAACATCAAAAATGAACTTCAACAACTGATTTCATCCAACGCACAAGAGGAACGTTATATTCATACAGATGATGCTGTTTGGGATTAGAATAGTTCGGATTCATGGGGGAAATCAAATGACCAATTTGTTCTGGTGATGTGACTATGCACAATAGCAACACTTACTAAACGATAAAAGAATTGTTTTTTATTTTGAACAATTCAAACTTTCTACACTGATTTAAGCACCAACAACAGGAAAGTGATAATTACCTTTAATTTAGGTTGGGAAAGTGCACGCCACCGATCGCGACGCGGATGCGAAGAATAGTCGCGTACGCTATCAGATCAGTGACGAGGGGAACTCCGCACTTCTTGAAGGCATTCGACCCAGTCGTCTGTTTACAATCACACCGACAGGAGAGATTTACACCAACTCTGTGCCTATTGACAGAGAACAAATTCCCCTCCTAACCTTTTCGGTGGTGGCCATGGACTCTGGTGAACCTCCCCTCTCTGCCTTTGCAACAGTTGTCATCCGTATTGAGGATGTCAATGATAATGGACCACAATGGATATATCCCCCTCCTGGTCCGCAAGCTGCTAGCATAAACGTCTCTGCTTATTCCACAGTTGGAATGGTCGTTGCACGTCTAGAAGCCGTCGACCTGGATATCGGAGTTAATGGGCAAATTGAATACGAGATAATCCGTGGTAATAGTTTGAAGTACTTCGACTTAGACCGTCTCTCTGGAACACTCTATCTAACTAAGGCATTGGAAGTCAACAGTGACAATAACTTAACGAATGACCACCCTGTGCCAAGTTCTTTTGCTCTCTCGCTCAAGGCCACGGATGGAGGTGATCCACCTCGAAGCAACACTTCGCTCCTCCGAATCATTGTCCAATCCATGGAAGCATTTCCACCTGATGGTCAGTTGTCCGACTTAGTTCGCACAAATGGGAAGAATCAGCATTTTTCCTCCAACAGCTACTTCAAGCAGCCGAGTGGTTACGTTGATCGTGATCTATTAATAATGATCGTGATGATCATAATCACTCTCCTCGTCTCAGTTCTCCTTATAATGGCGATTGTGCTTCTGCGCTGTAGACAGATCCATTCAGCTCGGGAGGCAGGCATGGACCCACCAATGGATGGAAACACCTCAACAGGGGTAGGTATCGTTCGTGTCACGCAAGTAAAACCGCGTGCATGGCTTCCACCACCCTCACAGGACTCTAGCGCTAAGTCAGGATTCACTTTGGATTCCTCCAAGTCTGGAACCGCTGCCTTTGATGGACATTCTCATTACATGACCGCAGCTGGTAAGGCAATTCTGTTTAAGTTATTTCTTGACATTTATTTCTGGTGATATATTCCACGCGATGCCCTCAGCCTAGTAGGGACTTATAAAATGATGTTGCTATCGTTCCCAAATCTGGGCTGGGCAAACAAGAGTCAGGTTCTTTCTTTACGTCCTTATGGTCATACGTAGACTTGCTATTGCTCCGTTGCACTGGTTTTATCAACTTGTTG